ATAGAAACTCATGGACGGACTCTTGTATATACATGCAAGATGTAGTGCTGGATATTGTTTTTGACCAGTCTTCTACAAAGTTTGTATGTTTGGGAGAAATTAAATAAAAGTAAAAAAAAAAAAAAAGAAAAAAATGGATGACGGAGGAGACTCATCCACTGCCTCCGACCCTAAACTCTCCTCCTCTTGCATGTTTCCACTGTACATAGCGTTCCTTGACCTACAACCTACTACCATTAAAGGAATAGTACACCCAAAACATGATTAGCCTTCATTTTCTACTCACCCCCATGCTGAACAACACTCTGGAGTACTTTTTTGATATCTCAAATGCATCTGGAGATCTGGGAGGCTTCTTGCTGTCTACTGACATTCAAATAATGGAGGTCTATGGCGCCCGAGGCAGAAAGGTCCATAAAAGTCCACAAAAAACGTGTCAATATTCCTCCATACTGCTCGTCCAATGTATTCCAAGTGTCCTGAGTGGGTAGCATCCAGAATTTACTCGAAACGAAGTCATTTAGAATGTTTTTAGAGCATAAAGAGTAGTGTATAGGATTTCCTGAAAGCGCGCACATGCGCGTTCAAGACGCTACGGACGCCGGCAGACAGGCAGGAAGAACTTTCTAAGCTGAGTCACAAGTGATTGACCACTTTGCAAAAATGAAAAATAGGAGGTACACTTTAATGCTCAATAAATAAAAGAAAAACTTAGTTCAGGTTGAGTTAAACTTTCCCCTGAACTAAACTCTGAAACCTAGGAATTAATGATTACTTCAGAATGTGTATAAGGAAACTTTTTATTTTTAAAGTTGGTAATGTCTTATTTTTTATAGCTGCAATGTTGAAATTGTTCAACATTGCAGCTATAACATTGTTTTGACAAAGAGTATATTTGTTAAAACAAATATGCTCTTACACTCATTAATATCTCAACTGGTAAATTTGGTAGGAATTTATCAGGGTGGGGCAGTGTGCTTGTCTGTATTTGTGTATGGAAGGATGGACATATGCGGTAGGGGGCCAGTGCCCCAGTAAAGCTTTGTGCCTAGCAACTCCCCTGTCTTGGTCAGTTATATAACATGCTGCTGTGATTTTGCACATCTCGGATGTTGCTGCTATTTTCAAATACTGTAAAAATGTCCATAGCCTGATATTGGTTATTTATTCTCCAGTTTCACAATTTTATATTGTTAAAACACTTTACAGTACAGTATTTTATTGTTTATCTTTTAACTCTTCACTATTATGTTATTCTTATACATTTTTCTAAGGTCTACATTTGTGTGACCATTTTTTCTATACTCTTTTTGCTGCTTTAAACGCCAGAATGTCCCCATTATGGGACAATAAAGGGGATTTTCTATTCTATTCTGTTCTAAAAATATGACGGGGAGTTTATCCGAAATTCAAAATGCTGAAATTCTAAGAATTATTTCAAAGATAAAAAAATAATCTGTGCATTTTTCTTTTGAATGAATCCTAAAATATCAGTAATCCCTGAAAATTTATTTTAGGATTTATTATTTTTGTTAAATAATCAAAATAGAGAAACCAAAGCCTCAAGGTTTAAAGTTGAAAAGTGTTACTCAGCTGTTATATATGAGTTAGATTGGTCTATATATCACTAAATCTAATCTTCTCTCACAATGCTCACAAAGGTGTAAAAAAACAATGTAAGCCTTTTAGCACCAGCAAGAACTTAAAGCTGCTTTATACCGTGTACTGAAGTAAATGTTACTATCTACTACTTACCCTCCGGCTCTGTTTATGTACATTTAACTGGCATTCAACTTTAAAAATTTATTTTTAGGCAAGCAAACACTAAAAGCTCCACTGCAAGTGGATTTAAATCTGTTCTATTTTGGGTTAAAGATGGGAAAAAAGAAAGAAAATATGAAATATATATTGTTTTTCCATCTTTTATTCCTTTATAATCTAAAATCCAAACATCTGTCTCAAATTTTTCTGGCATCAGTCGAGTCATTCTTGGGGTTTTTGGTCTAAAAAGTATTTATTACTCTGAAACTTTGAGTCTAAAAAGATGAAATGTGCAGCATAAATGTTAATGGAGTGAGTACTCGTGGTTCTGGTGTCAGTGTCGGGTCGACCCAGTTCTCACAGAGTCATGCCCCACAGCTTATTCTATCTGTCCATCGACGCGCTTGATCTTTCCACCAGCGAGCCAATCTAACCCAGTGAATGGCTGCTGGATAGCATTGTGTCTACCTGCAGAGGCAGAGATAACACGCAGCCGTTTGTTTGCCGTTTCTGCTGATGGAATTGAAACATAATGTGAGCTTATCTAAACCCAAACTGTTTCCTTTGCACTTTGCTCCCAGTGAGGGTTTGTAACCTGTTAAAGCAGGGGCGATTCTAGGACAGGAGGTTTAGGTCCGCCTGGCCACACAAGATTCATTTCACTGTTTTCTACTGATATTTTTGAAACTTGTTTAGTGCTTTTTGCTAACGACTGACTTGATCATTCACAAATGCATCGTATCTGAGACATGTTCCAAAAATCTGACAAGCAAAACAAAAAGCACCTTTTTTAGATGAATATTGCAACCAATTAAAGCTTTTAAATCAACTAATTTCATGGAAAACCTTTGAATCAGTTTTAATGAACTGTTTTCTCTTTTGTGCCAAAATTAATTCAGTGATATATGTAAAATAATCTACTCTTTGCCAGTTTAGCAACAGCTGTTTTTCCCGCTGCTACTCTGTTCACTTTGCACAAACCTTGCTCCTCTGCTCCCCCTTCTACACCTCCCCCTCTTTAGAGTGGCAATCATAAAATGGATTGTAAATTCAAATAACAAGAAACTGAAAATAATATTAACGATTTACTTATGATCCAGTAAATTTAAATACTGATATTAAGTTTTAGTTTTGAAGTCGTATGGAAAAGGCAGTTCCAACGGTTGCATTTCCGACTTTACACGAGTGAATAAAGTGAACATGATTGGTCGATTATCAAGGGGGCGGGATTGTTGTGGCGGAAGGTTTGCAAGCAAGTTTGGTTGTGGCTGGTGTCCCGGAAGCATCTTGCTAACCAGTTAGCAACTTAATGCTAGTAGGTTCCCAATGGGAAATTCCATTGGGACCAAGTAGCACTAAATTGGTGACTTGGAAACGACACTGTCAAGGAACGCTATGGACAGCTGTTACTACCCGATCCGTCCCGGAAGCACGATCCGTCCTGCGCATGCGCAAACAGATATACATACGGGTGTCAATAAGTAATGTAATTGTGGCACTGAAACTACTTATTTTCTATATTTAACTCACTAAAGAATACTAATACACATCTTTACAAAATGTTCTATGAATTTTGTGAGAAAATTTTTATGCTTTTTACTTTTTCTTCGTTAAACTGCTTCTCTGACATCATCAGATATCAGGGGTGGAACGGTTCACAAAATCCACGGTTCGGTTCGGTTCACGGTTTCGTGGTCACTGTTTTCGGTTCGGTATATGTTGATTGTTAGCCTGACATGTTGGTCATGTTGCTGTTAGCATAAACAAAACGTGTTGCACAATGCTTTCACACTGTTGCACTTTTATCCAAAACTTTCTTTCCGCCGTCATCGTAGGTCACTCTAAATGCAAAGCGGTCCCATACAGCAGACCTATAAAGTGCTGCTGGCGCGTCTTCCAACTCCTGTTCTTTCCCACTCGCCATACCCACACAATTCTCCATAACAACTGATTTTTTTCTGCTACACCCGGCTACGCTGCTTCGCTTCTTCTTCTTGTTTACTACTGGTGGTTGGCTTCGGTCGCAGTACCGCCACCTTCTGCTCTGGAGTGTAAACGCTTCGCCTATGAGAAAAAGGAACCGCGCACGAACCGATCGCAACATGCGCGAACCGAACCGAGACAGTTGAACCGAACTGTTCGGACGGTTTTCATAAACCGTTCCATCCATATCAGATATGCTCAGAGCAGTCCGGCAAATTATGATTAAACCATGTTTATCTGAATTTTAGTTGCTTCTTTCTTTAGATTAGGCACTATATATCATAAGGTTAAAAAGAAACGAAAACATAAAACTCAAAAAGATTAGATTTATGTTTAAATCCAAAGCCAAAAGAAATTAGCCATCGGAAGTAGCGCAGGATCCCATTTCCGGTTCAGATTGGGCAGAGACGAGTAATAAAACTGAAAGGATTTGAATGCATTTATTCTCTAAGGAAATACATTACTGACATTTAACACATCATATTTTAGTACGTTTAATATTTTCAGGGAGGGAAAACATGTTAGGTATTATTTACTAAATAAAATGAAGGATGACCCGGATGTATATCTGGTGAGCATTTCACCAACACACCATCAGTAGGTGCAGAAATCTGACTGAACATTTCAGAAAACACTTGAATGCATAATTTTCCTCAAAGCGTTGCTCAACATTTTAGTAAAGGACCTGCTTCAGGCTTGTTTATTTGTTTTTTGTTAGTTTATTATTATTTATAATGAACCAGAACATAGGGGCTAAATAACCAAATACTGTGCAGTATTTGTTTTTTTTTGTTTTGTTTGTTTTTTATCGTAAAAAGCGCATACAGTATAAAAAAAAAAAAACAACTCAGGGGGGCTTTGATTCAAATTAGGATTGCTTCAGCACCCCCAAAAATAGGCTAAAATCACCTCTGTGGTAAAGTATCCTGACCTGTGATGTGTTTTGTGGAAGTTTTTCATTGACCTTTGATTTTTCTGTGCACATTTTCTTTATCTTTACATGTATTTTATCTTTATGGTCTCCATATTGTTTTAAAATAAGCTAAAAAAAAGTAATTTGTAATGAAACCTTCCTCTATGATCCAATCTGCCTCTTTGCTCTGTTAGGTCCGATTGATCCTCCTATCCTATGATGTGTATCAGTGCAGAGAAACGCCCATTTTTTTTTTCAGTGCTGGTTCTCTTCCAGTGAACCTTAGAGCCTATTGAGCCCTTTGACTGCAGCTCCATCACAGCTGTATGCATGAGCGGCTGTAATGTAAACTGCTTTTCTTTTATCTACATGAGCGACCCCAGCCCACACGTAGAGCCTCCCTGAGTTTGTTTTAGTGGGAGCATGGGCAGCCAGAAAAAGTGGAGCATGGCCTCCAGGTCCCCTTTTGCCACAATGAGGGGCCGTTTGGGGCCGAGGAAGAAGGGTGTTGAGAGTTTGTGCGTCAGCAGCCTGCTGGGCGTTCTCCGATCCCACACCTGGCTGATCGGGGATGAAGATGTGGCCGTCCTCCTGGCTCGGACGTCTTCGCCGTGCTTTCCGCACACTCGGGCTCACTCCCTGTCTTTCTCTCTCTGCTCCTCGTCTGCAGATGGTGGGAGCGATGACTTTGGAGACCCTCGCTCACCCAGTCTGGACCCTCATCTGAGCCACATCGGCCAAGGTAAACAGTTTCTTTTTAGTCATTTCCTTCCTGTTTTCCTCCTCATCATTCTTTCCTCATTCCCATTTCTGCTCCTTTGATATCTGCGCTGAAGAATCTCATTGAGTTTTGGTTTACTGGGTTGTATTTTACTCAGCTTTATAGCAAAGGAGTTTACGACCGCTGAAAATGAAGTTATACTTATAGCGACAGAACTGCATGAATTTTATGTTCCTGTAATTCTGTCTGTAAATCTAAGCTTCTTCCCTGGGAAACAGGCTGTTTATTGCAGAGGTCTAAACGTCTGGCCTCTCCTGGAAATTTTGTGCGCAATAAAGATCTTGTGCAGCCCTGTTCCCCCTCCTCTGCATATTTTGAACTAAGCACCTTGATGAGTAGGTGTTTTTGCATTTATTTGGAGGCGTGGAGTGGCCCTTCTGCACGTCTCTTGATCCTGATCTAAAATAAAACATCCTGGTTTTCCCTTCAGCGCTTCGGTTCTTTAGATTTTATTGCTGAGCTGCAGGTTTTCCCACTCCAGTCATGTAATCTTTGCCCCAAATCAGAACATTTCACAGCGCTATATTTCAACTTGTTTGTTTATAAATAAAATTCACTGCAGGTTTAGATTTTAATTTTATTCCTTTCAACATTTTCTTTGTGTTTTTTACATTAACTGAACATAAAACTGTGTATTTGCTGCGGGATATTGTATAATATTGCAATAACCTTTTGAAAAATGAAATCATAGTTGTGTGAAAAATCCATCTGTAGAAATAAAACCTAGTTTTTAAACTAAGTTTCTAAACTAATGCAGGTTTTATTTTCCTTTAACATTATCATTAAAATAACTATGTTGTTGTCTTGATATTTGACTAAAAAGTAACATTTGCAAAAATGGGGCATACAGTGTTAAACAGAGTTTATAGCTTTTTACAAAGTTAACTTTTGAATGTATTAAAGTGAACATTTTAGTATTGTAATCATAATTACTGACATCCTTACCTGTAAGATTTCTAAAGGTCTAGAAAAATTCCGTAACCAAAATGATCCATTGTAGGTAGTTGGTTCCTGTTGGGTCCAAATCCCACTGCCTAGTTAAAGTATCAGGATTAAATCTTTCCAGAAGGTTTTAAAGCTATTAGTATTTAAGTTATGAAAACCAAATGGCTACCGAATTCCACCGCATCTGCTAAATCTGCAACTGCTAAAACCTCCTGTTGTTAGCTGTTAGCACTAACTGAAAAATAAGCTTCTGTTTTAATAGTTTTTGTTGTGGCACAGCTTTAATGACACAAAGAAAAGGTCCACAAAGGCTACAGATGCACCAAGTAATTTACGCAGGCAAAAGAAAAAATGTTCCAGGTAAATTCCTTCAGATCTCTTGGTGGCAGCAGTAATACAGTAATACAAGATTTTTTGTGGTTACTTATACACATCAATATACTAACATCAAAGATGATAAATGCAGAATTCATGCTCTTTTCAGAACTAGATTTTATCTAACTTGGGGTAAAGAGAAAATTATGCATCTGCGCGTCGTCTAAGTCTTTAGTGAAATCATAGATAAATAACAATTTTAATAAAAACTTATCAAATAATCAATTTATGTAGATATTAGTGCTTGTAAATATCAACTTTATGCAAAATGTTTATTGATACAAGTAGGTAAGAAATGACGATGATAAAGATTTACGCACCAGAACTCAAAACTGAAAGAATTTTATCCATAATACCTTTTATTTTGAAAGCACTGATAAAATGTATGTGTCTAACCCCCGGCTCACACAGACTCCGGTCTTACCGTTGCGGTGCGGTGGGTGCGGCGCCGCAGTGATTCCAAGTCATTAAAAAGACGTAAACCTCTCTCACTGGCTGCTGAGCTGTCCGGCTGCGGTTACCGAGACACTCCGGCGCTGCAGAAAATTCCGCAAGAAAGCTATCCTTGCGGCGTGCCGGAGCCCTCCGCAACAAGCTCTCGCAAATATCCTTATTTGGGCCGTGTTATCGCGTGAAGTTACGTGAACTCAAGTGAACTTCTGTTAAATCTCCGGACCTGTTGCCGGAGCCGCAGAGCCGCACCGCACCGTAGTCAAAAGGGCGGTGTGAGAGGGGGTGTGCGGGAGTTGCGGTCTCCGTCGGCTCGGTAACCGCACCGGAGCCAGTGTGAGCAAGGGGTAATTGTTAGCAAAGGCTGTAGGAAAGTATAGTTTGTCTTTATTTAGAAAATATGGATGTTTTGCTGGTTAATTTTCCTGTTGGAACAGTGTAGACTGACCCTGAGGTTCTGGTGCCTATCCACTTTTGGCCCCCCTGAGTGTACATTGGTTATTGCCTGGCCACCCTTATAAAAATGTTCTAGCTACGCCTCTGCATGCTGGTCCTACCATTGACAGCCTATTTATTAAATTAATTTAACCAAGTTAATCATTACTAAACAAAAACAAAAGAACCTAACTAAATAACCAAAAAACATAAACTCATAAGATATGTCAAACAATGAAGTAGAATACACTTAGCTAGATTATCCACAAAAAATACTTTAATTATTAACAAAAAATAATTGGCTCCTACAGTTTTTTTCTTTGAAACTTTACATTTTAAATGTGATAGCGACGAGTTATAAACGTAGCCTTTGTATTGCCGTTGGCATGGTAACCATGGATAAATATTGACATAATTCAGAACCGTCAAAATTTACAAAACATTTAATTGCTGGTGAAGATTCTCAGTTATCCAGGTCATTTCGAAAAAATATTTAAAAAAAAATAAAATCCACTGGACTTTTTTCGAAGTTTGAAGACGTTTCGCTTCCCATCCAGGAAGCTTTTCAATTCCAATTCAATTTCAATAAAAAAAAAAAAAGAAGAAGCTTCCTGGATGGGAAGCAAAACATCTTCAAACTTGGAAACTAAGTCCAGTGGATTGTTTTTTTTATTTTCTTTTTCGGAATGCCCAATTAATTACGTTGTCTGTTTTTTTTTTTTTTTGGTGTATTTTGTAAAATGAATACTATTATTCTGCACTATTCTAGATATGAAAACAGTATAAAAATAAAAAATCATCCTTGTAAAAAAAAGCTGTAGCTATGGCTTTAAACCTTACAAGTAAAGTTTGGATTCTTGTTCCATCAGTAATAACTTTCACACTGAAGAGTGTTATTGTTCATGAGACCCACCAGGACTGATCTTTAATGTCCCTCCGGCCGATTAGAGTCAGTTAATCATAACATTATAGATAAAATACCAATCAACCCATTCATTTCTACGTCCTTTTTTATTGCTTTGTTGTCTTTAATGTAAAACGTTGCATTTTTAGCTTCTGTGGTGAGTAATTGGTTGATAATAGAGTCAAATGAAAGTTCTCTACATTTTTTATGGGTTGAACAAATATGTAGTCGGATCTGGACTAGCAATAATTGCAACCAGAATACCGTGTTTCCCCGCAGAGTCTGCATACATGTGGGTAATTTTCATACTCTGGGTCGTAACCGCGGCTCTGGGCTGTTGTTTTCCCATTTTTCCCGCTCCCAGTGAATGACTGGAGCCGATCCAGCACCATCACAGCCACCATGCCATGCCTGCGTGTGTGTTTTGATGCTGACACCAAAAGCTTTTCACTTGTGCAGCAGCTGATCCAGACTCTCTCTGGGGACTTGTCACAAACCGGTGTTTGATAATGACTTCTTGTCTCACTGCTGCAGCTACTGCATGATGTGAAACTGTAGCTTGACCGCTTGCTTTTGCAGGCGTGTCTGCAGGGATCTAAAGCCACAAACTGCCTCATGATTAAGGTCCTATAAAACAGAATAATATGCATGCTCAACCTTCTACAAATGGTGAATTGTTATGATTTATGCTTTTAGAAGCAAAACAGAGTGGATTAAAGATACAGAATGGCTGTTTAAACCCTGCAATTACTGCTCATTGTGAAAGCTTTCTGGTGAAATACTCACATGGTCGTGACTTTGCTCTTTTTTTGATCTTTCTAAACACATTTTCATGTGGTTAGAAAATGCCCCTTTATTATGCATGAAATGTGGAGTATTGTTTCTGAGTGAGATTAGAGGTTGCACAGCCTGTTGTTTGTAAAAGCAAAAGCAAACTGCACGTGTTGCCTGCAGGGCTGTTCCTGCTTTTAGGTCATGCTGGCCGTTACACTCAATACAGATGATGCACTGATATCGGGGTCCCGGTTCAATCCGCTGGTGAAGCTTCCTCTTTTAAATGGCATAATTTAAACTGCAGCTAAAGACATAAGGAGGAAACTGCACAATTAGGATTCTGATTTATACTTTAAATCCTTTGCTAGATTAAAAAAACAATAGTCATTTTCTCACTTATCTCTGTTTGTTCTCAGCATTTTTCAGTTTTTGCTGCAGATACTGATCTCTATTCTCCCCACGCCATCACAGCATAATGTATTTTTAATACTCTATTCAGACATCTTTCCTTCTCCGGTTCTGAAGGTGGCAGCATAGACAGCGACTGTGCCTTCGAGGGAGACTACGCCGTGCCCCCGCTCTCCATGACCGAGGGCATGCAGCACATTCGCATGATGGAGGGCGTGTCACGCTCTCTGCCCTCCTCCCCGCTACTCGCCCACCAGGCCATCGGTGTCAGGCTGCAGTCGGTGAAGAAGCTAACAGGTAAAGCCGGCGGGACGATTACAGTCAACATAAATGTGGGCTAAGTTGGGTTCAGCTCCAGTCTTGAATGCCTTCTCTGTAACTGTCCTCCCCCAAAGTCTCATTACGCTTCATCCGCCTCCTCCTAGCGCGCCTCTGTGGGTGCAGAGCTAAATCAGAGCCCAGCAAACTGATTCCAGAAAGATCTTGTGAGGTTTTAGGCATCCAGTTGGTAAGAAGGGGCATGTTGTTAATGAGCAGTAAACATAAGGCTGAGGAGGATAATAAAGCTTGTTGTCGACACTACAGATTTCCATTTCTTTTAATTGCTAATGTCTAATCTAATTTCCATCATAAAGAACAGCTGATGGACTACAAGTTGTGGTCAGCTCCGTCCTCCTTCATTCGCTCGCCCTAATCGTTTTCTTCCACGCTCATCTTTGACATTCAGAGAATGTGGGGAAAAAATGGCTCCCTGCCGTCTCCCCATTAGCCGGATTATGAGGCTGTGTCATGTTTCTACTGCTATTATATCAGGGAAGGTTGTGGGTTTGGTACAACTAATGAGCAGAGCCCATCCAAAGCCTCACATCAGATCAAATTTCACATTATGAAATGAAGTATCAACGGTCAGGGCTCATCCGGAGCCAGCGGGGCCTCCGCATGCAGGGCCTGAAATATTTAATGATTTACAACCACAAACCTTCATGGTCTTTAATGGGATCTTATCTGATAAACTGACTGAAAGCACGATCGGGAATTAAAGGTAAAATAATTATTGGATTTCAGCGTTTTTAGGAAGAAAAAAAAATCTCAAAAGTGTGGCATGAATTTGTATTTTTTTAAAGTAATTTTCCTGTCCTCTTTGTTAAACTTGCAGCTCAGTCTATACCAAAACGATTGCACTGCAAAAAATGTAAATCTGAATAAGTCATTTTTTCTTATAATAAGTGCATTTTATCCTGATTTGAGGATATAAATGAGACACTTTGCCAATGGAATAAGACAATTTACATTTGGAATAAGAAAAATCAATTGCATTGTCTTATTTCAAGTGCATATTATCTAATTAACTTATTTTTAGTGTACAACTACTCGAACTATCTTATTTACCTGCTCAAATTAAGGGTAAATACACTTGATTTAAGAAATGTTTACTATAAATCTCTGAAAGGCTTAGCTGCAAGGGTTAGCGTTAGCCTAAACTTTGTACATTATCAAGTTATTTTTATAGTTTCTGTTCATTTCTAAGTCTTTTTAGACATTGTCATTTTTGAAATCTCTATAAATGATTAAAAAGAAGAGCAACAGAATAAAATAACCTTTCAAACTTAGCCCACTGGTGAGCTGTTCTTTATTTAGAAGACTCTGAGGGCCCCCCATGTGGTCCTTGAGGGCACCGCGTTGGTGACCCCTGCTTTAGAAACTGCAACATTCCTGAAATTTTTCATATGACTTAATAATATCCACAAGATAAAAGTAGATTATCCTAAGCTTGACTAAAACACACAGAGTGCAGCACCTTTCAGAGGGTTTTTATGGTCAAAGATAGAAGTTTGCTGCATTTCCTGAGGTTTTTACACTGGAAAAACGATCTAGAAATAAATAAAGATTTCTCAAATTAAGTGTATTTATCCCTAATTTGAGTAGGTAAATGAGATGGTTTGCCAATGAAATGGGTATTTTTACTCTTAAAATTAGATATTCAGAAAATATGAACTTGAAATAAGACAATGCAATTGTGTTTTCTTATTTTAAGTGTAAACTGTGTTGTTCCATTGGCAAAAAGGTCTGTTTTACCTCCTTAATCCAAGAAAAATTCGCTTATTTTAAGAAAAACTGACTTATCTAGAATGTAAATATTTGCAAGGCTCTGTTTTATTGGTGGGAGTAAAGAACGTGGATCCAGGAGTCGCCACTAGGGCGCACCAGACTCTCAGCTTCTTCAGATCAATCCTAAGATGCCACAGGGAGTGTGATTTTGACATCATACAGAATGATTCATATTGTCTTAAGGGGCAGCAAAGCTGATAAGAAATGCTGCATCGTTTTCCTTCAATCTAGCAAATAAAAAGAGATTTATAGAAAAGCTGCTTTTAAAGAGTTTCAAGTCAATATTTAAAATTCAGAACCAGTCAGTGTTAGCAGGTCAAAACTTGCTCCTTTTTTTCTACCTCTTGACTTTTCCTGGTTGTTTTCATTTTTTTTTTACTATAATGGTTCATGACAGCCTGACTCCATAGCTGTGCTTTCATCTGTGGGAATCAAAGTGAATTTTTCAGAGCCACAGTGTGTGTGGGTGTGGGTGTAAACACCTGTGTACGTACCGCTGTTGTTGACAGCCAAGAATAACCTGATTAATGATTTGCTGTGCTGTCTCATTTGCTCTATTCTCATGTCTAACGGCCGATACAGGCAGAGGTCTCTTTGCTGCGCTGTCGCACGTCATTATTTGGCTTTAGATATTTCACCAGGCTTTTACTGCGTTATTCCACCTCCTGTATATTTGTTTAACCTACATGCGGAGGCTGTTCGACTGGAACGCAATCCGCTTACGTAGGAAATGTTTAAAAAAAAATGCAATTTTTTTATAAAATCTGAGAAAAACGGCAAACTGCAAAACTATGGGTTCAACTTTTGCATACATGTCGGTGATTCCTCTCATGCTTGTGTGTTACCATACCAACCTCTGAAGCCTTAAATTGATGTGAATAATTAAAGCAAATCAAATGATTCAACTGTCTAGCTCTTCTAAATCAGAAAACAAACATAGTCTGTGTGGGTGACTCATAGAAACTCCAGACTCCAGCTGGAAGCTTATGAAACCCCAACGAGGTCCGTAGGCATTCATGCATTGAATTATAACAAAAAGATCTAGAATAGAGGAAAATATCTGCAGGAAAATGAAGTCGAATCGCCACCTTCTGCACGCTGCATATGCAACCAACTAAGAGCATAGGAGAATCAAGCTGCTTACACTGCAAAAACGTTCTGAAAGTTAGTAAAAATGTCTTTAAACAAGTGTACACTGCAAAAACAGTCCAGAAATAATTAAAATAATTATTAAATTAAGTATATTTACCCTTAATTTGAGCAGGTAAATAAGATGATCTGCCAATGGAATGAGTATTTTTACTCTTAAAATAAGATAGATAATATTTTCTTGAAATAAGACGATAAAATAGTTTTTTCTTATTTTAAAAGGAAATTGTCTTGTTCCATTGGCAAAGTGTCTTACTTACCTCCTCAATTCAAGAAAAAACGCACTTATTTTAAGAAAAAATAACTTATTGAGATTTCTATTTTTTGCAGTGTATTTACCTTAAATTTGAGTAGGAAAATAAGATGATCTGCCAATGGAATGAGCATTTTTACCCTTAAATTAAGATAAATGAGATATTATGCGCTTGAAGTAAGAGACTATAGTCTTTTTTTCTTATTTTAAATGTAAATTGTCTTATTCCATTGGCAAAGAGTCTTAGCCTGACGTAGTCCTACTCAATTCTAGTCAGAATGAGTCTGATGCTGCTCCATAGAGCTGTGATTATGGGGCGTGTTTCGAACGAACCAGGAAAAAAAATGCCTCTGCACTCAATTGGTTAGACCTACAACCAATAAGAGCAACGGAGTGCGTGACGTATGTTACGAGGCATAGTTGTTGTCCACAAAAATCAAAGCGTTCAGTTGCACGCCTATAATAAGAAGATGAGACTTGATCGCGTTTCTCTGTTCCTCTTTTAAAATTAATTTGCTGTCGATATCTTCTAGAACAGACCTAATAGCAGAATCTACACACCTAAACTCTCCAGCGGCAGCCATTATTGTTGTCACCCAAGCGGGCATTGGTCACGTGGTTGATTACATTACTGTTGGTCATCTGTCCATCATCGTATAAAGCCCGCCCTGACAATTTGATTGGATCGCCTGACAGTGGGCTATAATACTCGCGCTACTATGGAGCAGAGCCAGACCGAACTTCCCGACCTCAAACTTTGTGGGCGGGACTAAGTTCGGAATGGCACCCAGGCTAAAAGAGTCTTACTTACCTGCTCAATTCAAGAAGAAATGCACTTGTTTTAAGAAATGTTTACTTACTTAGATTTACATTTTTTGCAGTGTAGAACCAGATGAACAATTAAGATGCATGTTGCTGTCCTTTTCACATCATGTCTACCTACAAAAACCACGTTTCAATGCTTCACAATGTAAGCAGTTTTATTCTTCAGATTAACCAACAGTGAGTTTATGCAGCAGTTGAAGGAGAATCAGCTCCTGCTTCACCTCATCTGACCAAATGACGGCGCGCCCCGCGGCACCGGCCGTCCTCCAAGTCCTCCCGTCTACCCAAGTGAGGTTCAGCACCAGATTGCACTCGGGCTCGCCTGCTTCGGCTTTCTCACCCTTTAATTAATTCAGCTCAGCGCCGTATCGGGCACAGCTTGACGGCATCGGCCTCGGTGCGGTGCTGCCGTCACGCGGAACGCCTCCCATGGCAGAAATGGCAGAGGTGAGAGGAGAACGGTGATGGCAGTGCAATGCCTCAGAGAGCGAACCGCGGCGGGACGCCGCACTTTGATCATCCACGGTGACCACCCCCCCTCCCCCTCCTCCAGCTTCTTCTCTTTGCCCTCCTGCACAGCTCCTGATTGAGCGGTGGACTGGTGAGGACTTATTATTCAACCTCAAGGCTGTAATTGAATAAAAATGCAATGAAGGCGCTGACCTTTTAGGAGAATCATTGAGTTTCTGATTCAATCCCCTCTGTGGGTGTGAGGACTCTCAGAGGGGCTTTGGATGCTTGAAGGGTTGACTTATAAACTGATTCCTGAGGCTGGTATGAAACACATTGATCATTTCTGCCATTTTTTCCTCATATTGGTCTTTCTCTCTTGTGGTCCTCATTGTATTCTTCAAAATTCTGTATTATTATTAGTTATTTATTGCATTTCAAAGCTTACAAACGGTAAATCGTAGCCTAGATTAGAATTAGAATGATCAAAATAATTTATTTTTGCTGGAAA